ATGACAAGTCAAGATTATGTACTACAAAAGAGGATTCCACTTAAATCTGTGGGAGATAACATTAATTTTTGTTCTGTGGTGGTCTGAACCTTTCCCTGATCAAAGTTGATTTCTAAACAAGACTAAACTTTATTTTTCAGTCATTTGTTGACACCATATTCCTTGACTACCAGAGTCTAGACAATTAATTTCAAGTCAAAATGAAAAAAAAAAAAACAAAAACAAAAAAAAAAAAACATGCTTAAACTTAAATCTCTTCATTGTATATACCATTGTATGTGTGATATGATGTGATTTGGATTTTTAACATAGCTTTAACAATTTTTCAGTCATATTGCTACGATGTCTGCAGTGTGGCAGTTTATAGTTATGTCTAGCACTTGGGAATCATGCCACAGACATGTAGCATGATGTCCCACCCAGTCACATTATCCTGATACAAGGTCGACCAATCCTAGCACTAACCTCTTAATGCTGAGTGCCAAGTGAGGCAGCTGTTAGTACCATTTTTGATAAGTTTTTGGTATGACTCAGCTTGGGATCGAACCCACAACCTCCTGCATCTGATTTTTAACTAAGGTTATTTAATTTAATATTGCTCTTATCCTCAAAAATTCTAAATAAATACTTCCAGTTTCTCTAATTTTCTTAGAAGCAGGCAAATCTTTAAACCAAGCCAAAAAGTCTGATACCAATAATTTAAACTGCTGTACAATAATTTTGCATATCATAGAATGATGGTTTAGACAAATGCAACATTAGTTGTTGATATACTTCATATATTTGACACCTAAAGGGAACCCAACAGATGAAGCAAAAAAAATAACACTATGACATTTATGTCAATGTTTTCTTTTTGACTATGAATGGGTCATAGGCCTATAACATTTGGAAATGTTGTAACTAGCTTTACTTTGAGAATTGGGTCCCGTTTAGTTTTGTACTGGGACACATTTTTGGCAACTGAGGACACCCTGAAAAACACTTCCTGAATGTCCCTTTGACACACTGCTGCAGGATAGTCAATATTAAAGTGGTATATATATATATATATATATATATATATATATATATATATATATATATATATATATATATATATATATATATATATATAAAGAGTAGGTCACAAGGTATCTAACCCAAAGTGTTTTTCGAAGCTCTGTGTCTGGAAGTTCTGTAGCAAGGCGAAGACTCTCATAAGTGACTTTGTCCTTTGGTCTCTGATTCCAAGCAAACAGCACACCCATTTGGAAAGTTGTCACCTCAAGATCAAATTTCCCTATATCATTACTAAATGTGATCTGCAAGAAAAAGACAGACTTTAATTAGCTAAAGATGTACAGCAGTGTGACTATTCCAACAGTAAAGAAAAATGATTCACATCAATGAACTTTTTGGGCTCAAGACCCAATTTTAAAAAATGCTAAAATGTATGCAATAAAATTTCAATTTTAAAAAATGCTAAAATGTGTGCAATAAAATTTCAAAAATGAATTGTAACTGACACACTGATACATTCATAGACTAATAATCATCTTGAAAAATACTTGCAAACAGGATTCTGAAAAATACTTGCAAACAGGATTCTTAAAACAACCATGGGGACATAATTTAATATAAAACAGGACATATACAAGCTCTGTACCAACCAATTACAGTTAGTAATACATTATGCGCAGCTAGACTTAGACAAATCATTGTATATTAAACACCTTTCTCATGACCTTTGCTACCATTCAAATCATGAAACTTCCCCAATGTACAAAGTAGTCCCTTACAATGCCATTAGACATGAGATGATGCCATTGCAGCTTGCGTCCACTGTGTTTTAGTCTGTAAAACTCCTCCACTTGTGGGATATAATCTTCTAACTCCATAGGCAGAGAGACTGACACTCTATCACTGGATCTGGCCCATGCTCCGGCATTCAGAATCTTTATATTTATTGAATCTGGAAGAGTACAAATACTGTTTACTTTATAATAAACAAGTCTACACTTCATCCCAGCCCAATTTTTATGTAATTAGGCAAATATTAATTAATGATAGATATTTCTATCTTGTATTAACTTCAAACTACATTTATTTGGTTGGTCCACTTGTTGATAAAACTACAGTAATATATAAAGCAAGTAACTAAATACTTGCTATGATGTAACTAAAGGACTTAAACGAAGATTGTGTCAAACTAGTGATGATGATGCATTCAAAAAGAAATGGCAAAACGACACCCACCCCCACAACACTTAGAATCATGATATTTCACAGTAAATAGAACAGTTATCTCTACCCCACACTAGGAATTGTGGCATTATATTGGAAATAATACAGTTCCCTCCACCCCACCCCTTGGACTCATGATATTCTAAATGAAATGCTACATAGAGCTCTCCAACCATCCAAGACAAGGAATCTCGCTATTCCATTGGACAGTCCCCACCATCCCACCCAAACAATCTATTTTTTTTAAATCTGCATTTACATTTAAATTATGTAAATTTTAAGTTCAGATGTTCAAAATTTATTTGCTAAAATGAGATACAAATGCACATGCAAATGAAATTATGAGACTATAACATAAGATGTGATTGTATTTATGAATACAGCAGTAATGATAAATTAGATGAGAAAGCATGTATATAAGATTAAAGTACTAAGGAGACAGTAGATGAACATGTATACAAAATTATAGTAGTATGGATAAATTAGATGAGATGGTGTGTACATGATTAAAAAAACGATAAATCAGATAAAACAGTGTGCACAAATTTAAATGTCACTTAAATTTCATTTTTTAACAATGCATGGTGCAAATTGTTGTAAATGTATCTGAATACTTGTACATATGATATGTATGTGTATATGTATGTGTATATGTATATTTATATGTATATGTATTTGTATATATATATATATATATATATATATATATATATATGTGTGTGTGTGTGTGTGTATATATATATATATATGTGTGTGTGTGTATATATATGTATATATGTGTGTGTGTATATATATGTATATATATATGTATGTGTGTATGTGTATGTATATATATATATATATTATATGTATATGTGTATATGTATGTGTGTATATGTATATATATATATATATATATATATATATATATATATATATATATATATATATATATATATATATATATATATATATAGTAAGGATAACTTACATGAGACTGTGTGCGTACAAGATTATAGAAGTAAGGATAACAGTGATGAGACTGTGTGAACAAGATTATAATAGTAAGGATAAATATGAATGTGTACAAGATCATTAATGATACACTTTATGATACAGTGTGTACAAGATTATTAATGATACACTTCATGACATAGTGTGTACAAGATTATGATACAATTTATGACAGTGTGTACAAGATCATTAATGATACACTTTATGACATAGTGTGTACAAGATTATTAATGATACACTTCATGACACAGTGTGTACAAGATTATTAATTGTACACTTTATGACACAGTGTGTACAAGATTATTAATGATACACTTTATGACACAGTGTGTACAAGATTATTAATTGTACACTTTATGACACAGTGTGTACAAGATCATTAATGATACACTTTATGACACAGTGTGTACAAGATTATTAATGATACACTTCATGACATAGTGTGTACAAGATTATGATACAATTTATGACAGTGTGTACAAGATCATTAATGATACACTTTATGATACAGTGTGTACAAGATTATTAATGATACACTTCATGACATAGTGTGTACAAGATTATGATACAATTTATGACAGTGTGTACAAGATCATTAATGATACACTTTATGACATAGTGTGTACAAGATTATTAATGATACACTTCATGACACAGTGTGTACAAGATTATTAATTGTACACTTTATGACACAGTGTGTACAAGATCATTAATGATACACTTTATGACACAGTGTGTATAAGATTACAAAAGAAAGCATAAATGAGATGAGACAGTGTGTGTAGAGTAGTAAGGATAACCGAGATGAGACAGTTTGTAGAAAATTACAGTAGTAAGAATAACTTAACACAGGAAAAAAGATAAATTCTACTATTACAGTAAAATATATGTTGCTTTTGTTGTTCAATAGATTCTTACTTCAATTAAAGGACATGCCATTTCACACAGATGGACAATCAACTAAAAATACGTTTAAAATAACTTAACCATAGCTCCTTCATCTGCCCATATGACACTACTACAAGTATAAATCTCCAGAGATGAAGGTATATGTTACAGGCTGTCAAGCTCAAATGATTCCTATTCTAACTTTTTGCTTAATGGACTATACACTGATTATATCATGCTTTGTCATATAAATGGAGGATATTTGCTTGTATCGAGTAATGGATATATTTCACAGCAGGTGTGAAAATACTTCAGCTTTTCACTCAGAACATGCCGATTTTCTTTTTATTTTATGCTCGGACATATTGGCTAGCTAACATGTAAAACCGATTTTTAGTAGCAGATTTCTTATGGTACCAGTGTTTGATGCTAACATTTTTATGTAGGAAGCGCTCTGGATTTTCAGCTTTTGAAAATTGGTGGTTCTTTTTGCTGACAGAATGTCCTGCTTGTTTACAGTTATAGTTACTGAAAAAATGTATAACTACACAATAATAGAAAACACAGACAAGGTTGTTATTTTATTATAGTTTACATTAAATTCATCAACAGTTTACATGTTTTATTTTGTGTGGATTGTGTGTGCGTGGGTGTGTGGTTTAGATTTTTTTTAATGTAGCCTTAACAATTTTTCAGTCATATTGCTACGATGTCTGCAGTGTGACAGTTTATAGTGATGTTGATCACTGGGGCATCATGCTGCAGACATGTGGCATGATGACCCACCCAGTCACATTATCCTGAAACCAGGCCAATCAGTCCTAACACTAACTTCTTAATGCTGAGCATCAAGTGAGGCAGCTGTTACTACCATTTTTTAAAGTCTTTGGTATGACTCGGCTAGGGTTTGAACCAACAACCTTCCGCATCCGAGGGGGATGCTCTAAGCACTAGGCCACTGGAGTGGTGCTTTGTTTTATAATACTGACAAAAATCTTGTGTGGTATTTATTATTATCATTATAATCATCATCATCAGCAACATCAATGACAGTCATCTGTTCCCACTGCAACAATCTATTTCATCCATTCATTCCCCAGTCTCTCTGACATAAGGCCCGCTATAGCATGACTGATGGTTTACTGTATACCTTCAGTACATCTTTTATACCAATAAAGTGAGTTTAAACATAAGAAATACTAAATATCTGAATTAAGAAAATTAAATAAACTAGAATAGATCTTACGTTAAATTGGTGGTTTAAGTGTTTACAATATTATAAATGGAATGGATCTAAAGTTAAATTTCTGGTTCAATAGTTTGAATTTAATAGTATAAAATGAAAATTAATAACATTTACCTTGCATTCGAAAGACGTATACAATTTCTGCCTCTTTGTTAGACGTATCAGAGGAGACATCACTAATAACTGACTTGAGGAACTGACATGGTCCTGTTCTGAATCTTCAAGTATCAGCAATAACCCTGATAAATTTCTGACAATACTATTTTCAAACCTTGTCCTACCCACACCATTTTACATTTTCGGTATATGGGTGTCAATGTTTTGTGACAAAATGAGCATTTCTAAACATGACACATAGTTTTCTGAAGGTTGCCTTATTCAGCAACATTCTCACCTTCAAAAGAGCCATCTGCTGCCTTCACAACTTCTATATTAAGCTATTCCTTTTGTGGCTATCTGCGGTAGACAGAAAAAAAAGGTGGGAAGGCAACATTAAGGAGTGGACAGGCATGGAATTTGGAGATTCCCAAAAGGCAGTAGAGAACAGGGAAAGATGGAGAGAATTAGTTGTAAAGTCAACTGTGGTGCCACAATGACCTCTTGGGTTAAGGGATTGAGGATGAAGATGACGATTCATAGGTTCTGTCGGTACCAATTTTAAAGTTTTTGCAGCCAACTACAAATGTTCCCCAACATATCATATGTAGAACAAACTAACATGTCAATTCTACTCCTTGTTATGAAATTCTTGCTTCCAGGTATCTTGGAATTTTCATTTTCATTTTGGTTTTATCATACACACCTTTTCAAAGTTTCTTGTCTTTTGGTGTTTGGGGTGAGGAGGCAGACTTTATCAAGAAATCTCCATATTTTCTAAACTTTGAAACCACATAACAAAAAGTCAATTGTCTAAATGCTTGACGCTTATATATGATTAACAATTTAGGTGCCTAAAAGACAATAATTTGGTTGAATGACATAGGCATGATCTCTGCTTTATTTTAACTTAATTTCACTGTTGATTTTCACTATGTTTGATATGTTTATGATTAAAAGAAAGATTTATGCAATCTCATAACATGGGATCGATTTAATTAAAAAAATCCACAACTTAAAATTGCAAGCCCAACTGACCACCCAGCTTTAGTAAAGTGGTGGTCCTTCTGAAAATCAGGTGGGCTCAGGCCAGCGGACCTGCATTAGTGTAAAACCCTGTGTACCCTGTCATTTATTACAATTCATGTTCTGCTATGTTTTGCATAGTCACACATAAAATATCTGTAGTAGCATAATCATACAAAACAATGAATTAAAGAAAAAGAAACAATGAACTCATTTTTTGATTTGAATCTGGTAATCCTGCACAACAGGTTGCCTTGCTTACCGCCAGATCAAGAGATTGATAACAGAAATAATAAAATAAAATAATAAGATTTCTTTGTTAATATCTATTAACTGCAGTGAAAAAAAATAATTTTGATATTTCACACCAGTGAATTGTTAAAATGATTCCTCTTGGCAAAAATCCAGGAGTTCATGGACTAGCATAAAATAATCAGTGGATAATACATAGTTTTATAGCAATTAAGTAGAATAGCTCTTGTATTCAAGTAATGGATTAATTTTCTGACCTAAGACTAGAGGTAAATTGTTAAACATATTAACAATACTTTTAATATCATACAACAGTATCAAATGTATCATTATAATGGCAGTTTTGTACACATTTTTTTACTTTTATTTATGCTCTCCTTACTAATGTTAAAGACTGATATTATCAGACCCTACCTGCTATATATTCATTGTTATTTCTATGTGCATCTTTGAATTCTAGATTGAGGTCTTCACTGACTTTAATATCCTGGAACATGCGTGCTAACTTGTTCACATAGTCAGCTGGCATTCCTACTTCCTGAAATTACAGATAGATTAAATAACAACTGATCATAGATTATAAAGCTCAAAAGTTTCTCATGCTTAAAAAATTAAAAAGTTTAGAAAGTTGATGAAATCAGTGAAATATGCTTTCTTCATGTTACCATTGATTACCATACAGTTATGTACAAGTTTGATCCAACAGCAAACTTCATAGATCCAAATCTGCCATCCCATAATGCACCATTATATCTTGGTCTATGTAGTGTGTTAAGAAGAAACACACTCTGATCTTCTGGCACATTATGTGATGACAAATCAGTGTTTATATCTGCAACTGGACCTGTGTTAAAAGAAGAGTATATACAGCACATCATACAAATTTATTTTTTTAAAAATAAGCTGCATTTACTGAATTGACGAATGACCCTACATGATAATGATTAAATGTGAAAAAATGTGCAATAAAGTTCATCATTTGTGGCTGTGTGAATATTTTTGTAAAGTATGTAGGCAGAATAAGGAAATGTTACTTTTAAAAGCTGACCTTGTAGTAAAAGGGAGCAAATCTCATTGTCTTTTCAAGCAAAAGCATTTATGATAAAAAACAAAAGTATGAATAGTCTGATCACTTTTTCTTGTCATTAAATTATATTTTATGTAAACTAGATCCAAAATCAATATATAAACATGAGCAGATATCTGTGACATGTGAAAGGCAAATACACTACAACACAGTAAATATTATTCATATAGTTTACAGTTAACTATACAAAAATAAAAAGGAACCCAATACCCATTTTGAAAGTTTGTGGCAAATGTAAATGGGTGGGTGTATGTAAACTGTAAGACATGCCTGTTATTAATTTGTAGCTTACTTTTCCAGGGGATAAAAAACCTTCATGAATATAATAAAAATTACATGAACCCATAGATAGAAAGTTCTAAAAAGTTACAGGCTAGATGAACACAGACCTATTCACATCTTAGATCCATACACAGTAGCCATAACCAATTTATATGGACACAAAATACTTTTGGAACATCAGAGTGTGGCGGGACAAGAGAAACAAGCAAGTTAGAGGTGCAAGATAATTAAATTAAAATTAATTTACACCCACCCCAAACTACATTTTAATACAACCTTCTGTATGTTGCTATTGTGTAGATTAATATGGGAAGCTGACTACCACGACTCAACTTTAGGACTGGAATGCCTACTAGTTGGTATCCGCGACTTTTCCGCATCCATACAAGAAAATCTGCCTTTGCTCTTGTGTACCAAGAAATGGGTATAGGAGGAAAAAATAGTGTGTGACCAGCAAAACATGGTTTTCATAATATCCAAACAACATGAATGAGTAAACTTCAAAAGAAGAAAAAAGGAAAAGGTTATGTGAAATTGGCTAAATACAGCTTTTATAACATCCTCCCAAGACAAAGTGTTTGATAGGAACACGAGATCTCATTCAAGAGTGCTCTTAAAACTCACCTTAAACTCACCTTTTTTTTGACTGCAAGAACAGACATAAGGACCTAATAATGTCTCCTTACCTGAAATATCTTCAGCATGTTTTCTGTTTTATAATTTCATGGTTTTGTTTTTTTATAATATGATTATATACATTTGTCAAATGTTGTAAAGCGCTTCTAAAGATTAGACATTATACAAAGTCCTCATTATTATTTTTATTGTTATTATTACTATTATTATATAGCAATGGCTAATGGTCTCTCTTGGCAAGGGAATGACAAGCTGTCTTCATGCTAAGCCACATCTAAATGGTGGATCTTCTAATGTTAACAAAGACCTTTAAGGAAAGTATAAGACAGTTCTACCCTATCTTTTCCCTTTAGAATCAGCAAAACTGGGAATATGAATTGATCATCACCATTATTATAAAGAGACAAATGATGTTTGGGATTTCAGTGGAAGACCAAAGGAAGCTCAAATTTCCTTAGCATGTTGGATGGGGCTGCCATATAGACCTTAAGAAAGCAAGCATTCTCTCTCTTCAAATAAGAATAGAAGCAAATGTGCTTTTTAAGGGACAGCTAGGATTAATGTGTTTTCTAATGTACCAAGTGTTAAAGATTCACCACTTGGCATCATAGACTTGGGACATGAGAATCTCCTGGCTTAAATGATGCACTTAGCAACTATGCTCAAAAATGTGACCTGGCAGGTAGATCAACAGAGAGCCATTGCTAACACATGCCATGATGTTTTGGTAACCACCACATCCACCAAGTGCTTCAGTATGATGAGATTCCTCCATCAGAAGGCTAAATGAGGATGATGGTGGCAAGCCTTATGTTCCAATACCTCCATCATCCAAGGAAGGAAGCTTAAGAGGAAAGTGTACCCTGTAGCTAGTGTTACAAGACCTTATAGAAAACCCCAGCCATAGCATAATAGAGGAGCAACAGGGAACACGTGTGAGGTAGCCATGAAGAAACTTAAGAAAATGTTCATGTCCTCTAAGCCTGATGGCTTGGGACATCAATCCCTGGGCAGAAGACTTAGTATACTACCATATCAAAATTCTAGTTCACTTCCTCCTCTGCCAAGTAGATAGGTGAGAGCCTCATCCTCAAGAATGTAGCAACTGTACCTAGAGAAAGCAAAAGGACAAAAAATGATTCTCAGACATCTGGAGGACAAAGAATAGTCTCCCTCCTTCCTGTATCTGCTTTATAAACAGATGATTTGTGAACCTGAATCATAACATTAAGGTCCCAAAGTCCATGGCAACAGAAAACACTTCCCTAAAATGAATGTCCCCATAGCCTGTATGCTGATCTTATCCTTACCCCTAGCCTGGCACATGGTCACAGAGTCTC